ACATAGATCTTCTCCTTTATCCAGTCTTTATTGTACGGCTGGTATGTCTGAGTATCAGCACGATAGCTAGTAGGAAAAAAAATAAGGCAGTTAATATTGCTTAATATTGCTTTTCATCATACATTTCTGCAAAACAGTTTCTTAAAACCAGTAAGCCTTAACATTTTGGAATCCCCCATTTCCAAACACAATTATCCTGTGTTTCTGAAATAGCAATTATTTCCTCAAATATAGCACTATAACAAAGTTTAGGCAGAAATTAAACACAAAACCTTATTCTATTTCAGTATGTAACAAAATATATAAAACCAACACTTTTTAATTTAAGCCCTTTAAATTTTATTGTAGATCTATACCATCAATATACTATAGTAGGTCATCAAAGGTGCAGCACCAGAGGTATCATTTAGATCTTTATGGCCACAGAGGAAAAATATAGTTATTTACTTATTTAAAAGACTTATATAGTTGCCCAATCTTGTAAAACACAACTCTTGGCAGTTCATAACAATATTCCATGCATGCCCTCTGGTGGTTTCCTAAAATCTGAACACTCAGTGACAAAAAAAAAAAAATCACAATAATACTAGCTGTCTTTTTAGGGACTATAGGTCCTGTTTAATAATTGTTCCATTCCTACAAGGAGAATGCTTTCTGAAAGGTCCATTGCCACAGTGCTGGAGTTGGCAATGTAGTATACTCCAATAGATTGGTCCATGGTTACTATGATCTAGATTATTAAATGAATGTATACTGTTGCTTGGAACTTCAAAATAAAGTATCACCAGTATGTTGATGACACCCAACTCTATTTCTTCTTCACAAGAGAATCCAGTAAGACAATGGAAGTGCTGAACTAATAATAATGGAGAGGTCTAAGGACTGGAAAACTGAAATTCAGTATAGATGAGATGGAAGTACTGATGTTAGATGCTCAACAGACAAGGAAGTGAAGCTTGATTGTTTGTTCTTACTCAGGGAATGCTACCTGATCTTGACCTTAATATGGATGCTCAAGAATAGGTCAGCTTATAGTTTTAGGTTGTTGCTCCTCCAAAAGAGAGATAGCCTTGCTGTGGTTATGCATGGTCTTATAGCATGCATGCAGATTATATTATTGTAACTTCCTTGAACCTGGTTTGGAAACTTCCACTGGTTTAGAGTACGACAGACAGAAATATTAACAGTATATCATTCTGAATATACAGTTCATCTATGCACTGGCTTTCAGTGAGCTCCTGGGCTCAAATTAATGTACTAGTCGTACATTAAAGAACTAAAAAGTAGGATTGGGCAGTAATCTAGACCTGAAAGGGAAAAGAAGATTTGCAGACTGCAGAGACAGTTATGTTATACCTGCCAGGAATTCCTTAAAGAAGCTGTGTTTATTTTAAGGAGATTTCAAAAAATGTGACATGTGTCCTCCAAATCACTTTTTTTCTCTGAATCTGGATTGTTGCACAGCCCTACTAAAAGGCTTATGCAAAAGAATGTTTCCTCCAATATGAAGCTGCCTAAAATCTAAGAACTATTTCAGAGTACCTAGTCCAAATGTCTACACTAGGAGACATCAATGTAACCACCAGGTAAAGGCCTTTTTCAATTATGATACCTCCCTCTTGGGATTCTTTTGATTCAGCTGATGAAATTGCACCATTTTCATCATTCTGTGAAGTCATCCTTTTTTTTTCTGAAGACTACAATATTTTGCATTGTTATATTATATTGGCCACTACTTTTAAACTAGTACATAAAATCAACTCCCTCATAAAGAAGTTTTACCAGTGCATTAGTACAATATTAAACACAGGTATATTCCTAAATAATTCCACTGTTCAAATATTTGTTGTAATTTCTCTTTATACTGAGATTGTTCAATAAAATAAGAACCATTAATATTTCCATTAGACTACAGTTATAAAACCTACATAAGATGAGGGAAGACTAATCACAAATAGCTTTTCTTTCATAGCAGATAGATATACTTCCTAGATGTACTTATCTTTGGTTCACACGAGTTTTTGTTAACTCTTCCTCCATACTTTCCTTATATCCTATTGTATTTCACGAACTCTTGTTACATTCTTGAAATTAAGGTTAGTAATAAATACTGTAAACTGGACATTCCTTTCATTTAAACATTCTTTGGAGAGCCAGTTTGGGATAGTTAAGGGATCAGGCTAGAAACTGAGAGACTGTGAGTTCTAGTCCTGCCGTAGACACAAAGCCAGCTGGGTGATTTTGGGCCAGTCACTCTCCCTCAGCCCTGGGAAGGAAGCAATGGCAAACCACTTCCAGGGTACAGGGGAGGGAGAGAAACTTGCCAAGAAAACTGCAGGGTTTTTGCTGCAGGGTTTTTCCTGCAGGGACATGCAGGAAAAGTCCAGGCAGTTGCCAGGAATCAAAAGCACACCCTCCAAAAAAATTTTAATTGCCCATTAACCATCAGCAGCAATCACTATTTCCCACCACATGCCAGATATAAGCTGTGGAATTCTGGTATTTTGATAATTGTCCCAACCAATTAATACTGAATGCAACTGCTCCAAATCAGGATTTTGTACTACACTGCCAGCTAATTTCAGGCTTATAGTCAATTATAAACTACCTAAGCATTGGTTCTACAACAATAAATGAAAATTAGAGAAGATCTATGTACTAGGTAACCAAAGCAGTATTGGATAAATTATACTTGCCTCAAAATCACATTACATTCAAAATAATACACACATTAAATATCTGTCATACATTAATTGGAGAGGCAGAAGCACAGACCAACAACATTAAAAGTCTAATTGTATATGTGCAAACCACCATATATATGACAGTAGAAGTAAAATTGTAGAATCTAATTTATGGGATACTTACACAAGGCAGCTAAGGTCAGCCAAATCATCAATAAAATCAAATAACTGGCTAATATCATATGTAATGGAAGGGCTGTTAGGATTCATTCTCTTCAGGTGTTCTTCATACATTTTACAGACTCCTAAAAAAAAAAAAGGATGATGTTTAGCAGTTACATTGCACACTTATGACCTAGTTGTCCTAGAGTACTTGAGCATTAAGAAACACACAAACAGGCAATCACAACAGAAATATGCCAAAACTAGGAAGTTAACCTTAAAAGGAACAGATTCACCCATTAGGTGAATAAATGTACAAACACAGCATAAAATATCTTTACAATTTTATATAAGAACTGTAATAAAAAACTGAGGTGAAGAATGAATAAGATGCTACATTCTTCATTTTCAGGTTTCTGCATTAAACTGTTTACAGAATCAAACATTTCCATATTCCTTTAGTAAGGGGTGGAATTAATATCCAGATGTTGTTGCCTCATTATTCTGCATCTCTGACTACTACCCAAAGCTGATGGGAATCAGGGTTCATAAGATTTGTATGCAACAAATTGCTAGAGTAGGGATAGCCAGTGACATTTACTTTATTAATCTGGTAAAAGGCAGAGACATTACAAGGGTGCAATACTTTCATCTTGATTCCAAACAGTTGTTTCTGAGCACATGGCAGCACAAATGTTACTGCTTGTCTGCAACTCTTTAAAGCAGCCAAATTTTAGCTATATCTTATTTGGCAGATGGTGCAAGAGCACAAGACTTATTCCTCCAAATGACTGCGCTCATTCTCATAAGGAACTGCCCTTTAAAACTCATTTAAAGCAAAAAAATATTTACCTTCCATACATTCATTTACAGATTCATAATCTGCATAAGTCCTGCCTTCAGGTCGTTTGGTAGGCTGAACAAGCAGAATTGTATGAGACTGAAAAGAAAATACAACATTTATACTTTTAAAGTTTATCAACAAATATTGCAGAAGTGCCAAAGTCCCATGAAAAGTTACATCAATATTTCTGTTCCTGTACACATAGTATTTATACATACTGAAAGACCAATGTAAAGTTTTAAGCTGATGCACACACGCTACAAGACCAGCCTCTGCATTTCAGCAACCAGCCTCTGACAGGGTTCTAAATCTATTTTTTTCCAGAATAATTAGAATTTTTAAAAATCATCTTAAGGGCCTCCTTATTATAATTGTACTGTTTCTACTCCTACTTATTTTGTTTTATCAGCAGAATTGCTTTTCGACTGATTTCTACAATTCACTTTTTAAATCATTAAAAACCAGGCGATGAATGTCTCAATAAATTCCATCTACCTAAAAGGACCATTACTTCTCCGCTCAAGGCGGGACTTTCCTTTGGTTTGCCCGGAAACAAAAAAAAAAAGTCGTCTTCGAAGGAACTCCACATGGAGTCTCCCAAATAGTCCGGGGCATCCCATTTGAGGGCGGGTCGAAACTGTAGAAGTTTCGTCCTTCTGGAGATACTGTAGGGTCTCTCAACAGAGGGAGAGAGGAAGAGAAGGGGGGGTCCGCTTCCCAGAAACGCAAGTGGTTAACTGACTGACCCCCCCCTTCTCCGCCATGGCCATCTCAGGGCCACCGCAATGGAGTAACGGGATGAAGCCGTTTATTCACAGACTGCCTTACTCTCTGGCAAACAATTTCGGCCGCCTTTTCATGCCTCAGTCTAAAAAAAGACGGCCGCTCACGCTTTATCTCCTTTCACTCACCATGGCGACTCGTTCCGTTCGGCTCAGGCGCGAAGCACAAACTCCCAACGACGCCTCTACCACAATGCACCGCGGCCACCGGATACACGGCACCTAGTATTCCATGAATTGTAACTCCCCCTTCCAGTATCTTGGGTTGAACCATAGAGACGCCGCTGCTTTTCCTGCCGACTTTCAGAAGATAGAGCGGCTTCAACGCTTGTCCCGCGAGATTTTCCTCCTCCCTCTTTGCAGGAGGCGGCAATTCTCTCCTGACGTCCATCTTTGATAAGGGCTTCGCTGCTCACAGAATGCGTAATAGCGCCTAGGAATTATGTCTGCCATCTTAAATTGGACAGGAAGGGGAAGAACAACCAAAACGTGACTTCATACGTTTCCCTTAAACTGCCAAGTCTCCCGGAAATTGAGCAGGAGAAAGGAAGTGGAGGGGGGTTGCCACTTGGCCTTTACGGCACCAGCGGAGGGAGATGGCGATATGGTGGCGGTAGGCGGCGGAGGGGACAGGCGGATTTTCTTCCCACCTTCTGTTTCCACGGGTATAATTCCTTATTGGCTGAGGAGCGCGCTTGGGTGATGAGGCCTGGTTCGCCTGCCTTCCCTCTGAAGAAAGGGGAGCCCGTTGCTTGAGCTGAGTGGAGCCCGGCTGCGGGCAAGAGGAGAAGCGGGGCGCTGTTCCCTCCCGAGCGGGGCTTTGAGAGGCGGCTTCCTCGGTGGTTTCCGCGGGTCTCACCAGGAAAGCACTTAAACTTGGTTCTCTTTTTCGGCGTGAAGAGGGGGTGTCCCTCACTGACTCGCCGGCTTGTCTGTTGCTACGGAGCGCAGCCAGATTTTGGCCCATGTGGCTTTATTCGGAGCCGCGAGGGCGAATTCCCTGCTGAACCGGGGCGAGCCATTGAACTGCTGAGCCAGGAGGAGAAGCTGGCCATGGATGATTTTTTGTCGATTAGCCTGCTCTCTCTAGCTATGCTGATTGGCTGCTATGTGGCCGGGATCATCCCTTTGGCCGTAAACTTTTCCGAGGTAAGGAAGGTTCTGAATACCTGTCATCCAGGTGTGCAAAAGAATGCGAGTATCGAAGAGCAGGGCTAGCAACGGTGTAACTTCTCAGAGAACCAATATGGAGATGGAAGTGTTGTAAAGAACAAATACATTAACAAACAATGGGAAACAAACATCCTTGTAAATAAACTGTCTGAAATGAGTTCCGCTTTTAGGTTCCCGCTTGTTCACCTTGATACTTGTATTGCAGAATTAGGGCCCAGCATGAAAGATAAAATGGCAGAAATTAAAGACCATGTCATCTTTGAGATACATTCTGATTACTTAACTGGAGGCTTTTCCCCTCTGCAATTCTTTCTGCAAAGCTCAGTTTCCTTTTGTGGGTAATCAGTTCAGTAGCTTTAAAGTTTGTCTGAGAGAATCAGTCTTCTTTTTTAATTAAGATATAAGGAATTATTTTGCTGTATGCAAAATACTGAGTTTTAAGATGATTACCCTGTCCTTTTTTCAGTACCATTTACTAAAACTTGAACAAAGAAAACTTATTTCATGGAGTTGTTCTTCTCTGCTCTCTTGCATATGTCATTTAAAAATGAGTATTTAAAAAGAAATATATGCCCACATTGTACATGAGGTAGTAAAATATTCTACTTTTTGGAAGAAATACCTTACAATATATTTTAAAAGAACCAGCAAGACAAAGGCAGTTCTGTATATTAATTGTCATTCTACTTACTTAGATTATGCATGTGACCAAAAAAAACCCCAAAACACCGATTCACTGTTATACAAAATTACTCTGATTATACAAATTAGATGTCTGCAAAAATAGCAACTTATTTTAATAATGAAACCAAATGTAACTTCATTTACTGCACAATTCAAAAGTAACATTCAAATCCAGTGAAGCATATGGATATGATATAAGGCTTATTTAATAAGCAGCAAGTGCACAATACGTACAAAATAGAATTGCTTTTTTTGGTAATATTTAGTGCATGAATATACATGTCTAAAAATAACAAAGCGTATTGCCAGGTTAAAATAAATAGCTTGAGGAAGAAACTTTAGTTATGTTATTTTTCCATCCTGTACAACCTAACCTTGTCTGTTCACAGAAAAAAGAAACACATATAAACTTACTTGCATGCTACAAAATTTGGCAAGCTTATTACCTATACTTAATACTCCTTATTCTTGTGGATGGTTGTATAAAACTGGCATATGCTATATCATCGGTCTGCCTGCTTAGAGAATATAGGTTTTTTATTTTCCAAATTATGTGAGAAAATAATTTCCTAAACTAAAATTGCTGTAAGGATTTGAAAATATTTGTGAAAATCTCAGGATGGTTTAAATCAAGGTAACCTTAAATAGCTAAACAGATGTAAATGAAAATATTAATTTTAAATCTGTTTTCTTAATGGCAAATTCCTATGATTCCTGAATAAGTATATACTGTGACTGCAAGTATAATTACAGTATTGTGTATTGTAATTGTAAAGGCACTGTATTGCTAAATTGGTAAGTTGTGTACGTGTGAATGTCAGCTCTTCTGCCATTTTGAAGCCCTGCTGGATCACACTAGCCTGGTGGAAGAATACATGGATTAGATTTCCCATTTTCTTCACATAGAGATATTTGCTTTTTATTCCTAACAGTTGGGTTATTCATGCTAGTTCTAAGAGGGTGTGGAGAGGACCCAATGAAGAAATGAGCTTTGGATTCAACAGATCTTTTGAATCCAAGTTATTCCTGGAGTGTCTTAATAATTTGGGGCCTATTGTCAAGTATAAAGCTACCAGCAGCATATTAATGTTCATAGATACAGTGGGGCAAAAAAGTATTTAGTCAGCCACCACTTGTGCAAGTTCTCCCACTTAAAAAGATGAGAGAGGCCTGTAATTTTCATCATAGGTATACCTCAACTCTGAGAGACAAAATGAGAAAAAAAACTTATTTTCCACCATGATTTGCAAATAAATCATGGAGGAATGGGCCAAAATACCAGCAACAGTGTGTGAAAACCTTGTGAAGACCTACAGAAAATGTTTGACCTCTGTCAGTGCCAACAAAGGATATATAACAAAGTATTGAGATGGACTTTTGATATTGACCAAATACTTATTTTCCACCATGATTTGCAAATAAATCATGGAGGAATGGGCCAAAATACCAGCAACAGTGTGTGAAAACCTTGTGAAGACCTACAGAAAATGTTTGACCTCTGTCAGTGCCAACAAAGGATATATAACAAAGTATTGAGATGGACTTTTGATATTGACCAAATACTTATTTTCCACCATGATTTGCAAATAAATCATGGAGGAATGGGCCAAAATACCAGCAACAGTGTGTGAAAACCTTGTGAAGACCTACAGAAAATGTTTGACCTCTGTCAGTGCCAACAAAGGATATATAACAAAGTATTGAGATGGACTTTTGATATTGACCAAATACTTATTTTCCACCATGATTTGCAAATAAATAAGAAATCAACTGCATGGAGGAATGGGCCAAAATACCAGCAACAGTGTGTGAAAACCTTGTGAAGACCTACAGAAAATGTTTGACCTCTGTCAGTGCCAACAAAGGATATATAACAAAGTATTGAGATGGACTTTTGATATTGACCAAATACTTA